CATTATCCAACACTATGAGAAAGTTAGTATCAACACGCCGAAGAGTCCCCTAATTTGTTTGATACAAAAAGGGCACTATTTTTAAGTCTGCTGCCATATGGGTGATATAATTCGATACTCCCTCTTCCTGATGGGTTCACAACCATATTGATAAACCTTACACACACGCTTGCTGTATACTTGTTAATATTTAATTTTGTCAAATTGTGGAAACTGTATGTATGGCAGTAACCCAAGAACCGTCAAATAATTAACTATTCTTTTTGCTGCAGAAAGTTCTCTTATTTAGCTTTGATAATTATGTCGCCAAGGAACAAACCTTGTTTTATCTATTATAATGGAATAAATTTAAAGGGTTATCATAATATGTATCTAGAAGTACAAGGCTGTGAAAATTTCATGAATATCAGGCTTATTATACTTAGAGTACCCGTTGCCAAAAAGTTTATGATAGATACTCTCTCCAAGCTTCATTAGGCCGGTTTTCCTCTGCGATTTTTTTTGTTTCTGGGACTTTTCTTTTAATTTTCCCGAACCATTTCACGTGTCAGACAGAAAAATTGGCAAACAAGTTCTAACAGACAATATATTCTTTTAATTAAATATCTTAAAAATTATAAGAAAACATGAAAATAAAATTGTTTGATGATAAAATATAGGCCATTCAACGCGTCTGACGACTCGAACATGTCGGAAAAACAACTGTGACGAAATTCATAGATAACCAGCTAATTTTTTCAGGATACTTTCATTAAAAGCACAAAAACAACCTTTCATATTGTCTGACGGAACTTGTGTTTCGATTTTCCTGTCTGACGGGTGAAATGTTTCGGTAAAGTTAGAGGAAAACGGCCCAGAACCAGAAAAAGTCGCACAAGGAAACCGTATCAGACTCGGCCTAAATTGGAAATACTTTTCACTCGTATAGTAGCATCTTAACAAAGGTTATTAAAAATTATTCACGTGAAGCGATTAAACACAAATTTATCAACAGCCGATATTATGACAAGAACAATAAATAGATTAAATAAAAAAGGGACAGGTGTTAAATGTTTTACATCTGTTCTTATACATGGGGGAGTCATGTGCAACTGTACAATGACATACTCCCCCCTGATATGGAGACCTTTACGGGAATTTACAATGCCAATTAAAAAGTTTCTGCTCCCATAATTTAATAACAGCCGAGTGAATTTTGACTCATATTTCTTTTGGTCATAACTTTTTAATGTTAATTTCGAATTGTCTCATACTTTGGTAAAACGTTATCCTACTATTACCCAATTAACTGATTTATTGAAACTGAAAAAAAAATCATAGAATAAATTTCATACGGTTTTGAAAACCCTAATAAGGCTTTTACAAAGTATACAAATAGATATTAATTTTTTTCACAAACGATTACTCAAATTAAAAAAAAAATAAAATTTAACCACAAATAAAAGTTTAACAAATCAAATCACAAATTTAAACAAACACTTTTTCTTGCTTAAATTAAAATTTTAATTATTAACTTATTTACATGTAAGAAAATTTAAGAATACCTAATAATATACTTTTTCTTTTTCATCTTTATAAAACAATTCTGCTTGTTCATTGGCGGAATAATACCTCTATGGAAGGTTGTCACTCCATCGTTTGCGCAGTCGTCCGATACTTCTGCCGCTTGGTGACTTAACTCTTGCTATTTAAGGAGACGACACGGGTCTCCTCCATTCTGCTTATGTGGTTATTCTTTTTTTTTTCCATTTTGTGTCCATTCATGTGTACACTGTACGTTACAATGTCTTATGTCTTCACTTCTCTTTCGATCTCTCAGCGTATTTCCTGTAATTCTTCTCAATACTCTCATCTCTGCCGTTTCCAGTAGCCTTTGCGTTGTGGCTGTGTCGGGTCTTGTTTCTGAGGAATATGTCATTATTGGTCTTATACTGGCTTTATAAATTCTTGACTTCATCTCAGTGTTAATGTGTCTGTTTCGCCATATAGTGTTATTAAGGCATCCTGCCAGTCTATTTGCTTTTTGTACTTGATATCACACTTCTTTGTCCAGATCTCCATAGCTAAACAGTGTAATTCTCAGGTATTTTATTTCCATTACTTGTTCAATACTGGTACCATAAAATTCTATTTTACATCTGGTTGGTTCTTTGCTCTTATGTTAAATCTGTGGATTAGTTTAGACATAAGAGAAACACATATCACAGAAAGTGATGGAGTCTAAGAGAGTTGGGCAGAAATTAAGTCTAATATCCCTCGGCCAAGGAAGTTCTTGGTTAAAGAAATATAAATAAAAATAAATCGTTCCCAAGGCGAAGAACTTCATGGTTTTGTACAGAAGTGAAGAAAAAATGTAAAGAAAAGAAAAAAGCTTACCTGAAATAAATGCAGGCATACCATAATTTTAAGACAGTTATAAACGAAACACATGCACTTGTAAGAAAAATAAAAAATGATCACAGTGAACGCTTTTCGAAAGAAATGGAACATGATTTTTTACGGTCTGCAAAAGGAAATATGGCGCTTCATAAGAGGTCAAAGAACAGAGGTAAAGGAACTAATAGAACCAAAACACATAGAAAAGGATACGTGGATTGACTGACTAAAAAAGCTCTATGCAGAGGAAGAACAAACGACGCTAGAACCGGAAACACGGGATACCAGACAAATTGCTGAAATATTGTGGAGCAGCAATGACAGAACAATTAACAATATTAATTAATAAAATTATAAAACTCAATAAAATACCGGAAGAATGAAGAACGAGCGAACTAATAATATTATTAAAAAAGGAGATAAAAACAGCCAGAAAGCTACAAAGGTATAAACTTATTAAATACTACGCTAAAACTTACAATAATAGACAAGTCACATAAAAAACTTGGACACAAAATTCCAAAACGACACAACGAAAACCAAACTGAAAATTGTTAAGATTTGTAGCACATTTTCTAATTAATTTTCTGAGTGTTAAGGAATCATTTGCAACAGTGTTACAAGAATCAATCATTCTGTCAATTAATTCTTGTTAAAGTCAGGGGATCTCGATAGGGGACCCCGCGTCCAATTCACCTATTTCGGTAAGTGGCATGAAGATTTTGACGAACAGCAACTGATAAATGAGGTGATGCCCCGTTGTGCATAAAGTACATACCTCGGATTATGCAAAATATTTTGCAAACAATTTTGAAAAAAGTGCACAACACCTGTCAGTCATCATCAGTGGCCCTCTTCGTGAGTCTTTGCCGCATTTAACATTGCCTTCCATTCTTATCGGTCCTGTGCCACTATTTACCATTGTCTCACTCGACATTTGTTAGCGGTGCGTTAAAATCGTGGGGACATATTAGTTGCCTGTTTATTACTCATATCCAAGCATTTACTGAAAATCTATAATGCGAACGAGATTCCCGAATCACATGGTGCTTCGTCAGTGAATAGGGTTCTGTAACATGTTCACTTGTAAACGATCTATTGCTCGTTCAGATTGTTATTTCGGAAATGTTTTGTTTTAGGTTTATTACTTAGGTGATGCCCTTTAGACCTTCATATTTTACAATATGAAGATTCGTAGATCATTAGTCACTTTGTTTTTTAAATACAACACCGTATCTTTATTGAAATCTTCACTTCAATACAAGTTCAACTACATACAATGCTTTGGATTTTATATTGTCAGAAATATCTTTCAAACGCCTAGAGACGCCTAATCATCTCAATTATTTGCCTTAACTCTGCAACACTTTTGCTGCTCTGCTGGTCTAATTTTATAAATTCTACTTTTCATGTATTTTCAATAAAAATAATATAATTCAAATCGGGTGAACTAAATACCCTCTATACCCGACCATACATTTAGTTTTTGTGGTCTTTGTAGTTTTCACGTATCCAGTATGGATTTACCTCACTCCAATACCATAAATTTTGGTGCTTTACATTCCCATACGGTGTAAATATTGCCTCGTTGGAAAACATATCTTGTTAACGACGTTCTTATCATATTCATTATTACCTCACTAAACTGCAATCTAAGGTCGTAGTAATCTTTATTTAATTCTTGCAACAACTGGATTTTGTAGTGTTTAAATAAATTCTTATGTAATACTCGCAAGACTGAAGAATAACCTACATCATGCATTTGTGCACCTCTGCGTGAGGCTATATGTGGACATTTAATGAAAGTCTGCATTAAATCTAAAGTTTTATTGTAATTTGTCCAAACAGTTTTTGGTCTACCTGTTCCAATGTCATATTTTACTCGTCCAATTTCCTCAAAGCGCTTTACAATTTTACCGTCTCCTTATGAATAGGAGAATGGTTTGGGAAAGTATCGTTGAACAAGTTGCCTACTTCACTATAAGATCCTTTTCTATCGCCGTATCTCCTCAGCATTAAGACAGTAATTCGCTCTTTTTCATTAAAAACCATCTTTATTGTAGAGCTTTAAAAAAAACATAAAACAACTACCAGCTTTAGTTATTAATACAATTTATTTTACAATACTTTTCAGTAAACGTTAAGCTATTGTCTGTTTTATAAAACAAATTTATTGTCAAAATTACAGCATTCTATATTTACTGACTAGATAAAACACCAATATGGTGGTGTTGAACGTATGGTTCAACAATATGTAACACATAAAGTATTACATATTGTTGAACTCGTATTGAAGTGAGGATAATATACAGTTATTTAAAAAACCAAAGTTTAATAAAGGATAAATCTGGCAATATTACCAGCGTTAAATTAGAAATCCTCATATTGCAGACTTTTGATCTACTCTGTATAGGACTGCACTGTTTTGATTGTTTATACTGGTTTCAATAAAGAGTCTCATGTTGTTGATTTGTGCTATTGTATGTGGGATTTATGTTGTAACTACTAATATTTTTTATGTTGTATTAATGTCTTTAGGCTTAAATATTGTCTTCAATCAATTTAGCAAGCCACCTTTCTATGTAATATATAGATAATTTTTAACATTTTAAGTGGTATTTTAGGTGCAACAACCGCAACAACAGCCAACGCAAATCCAGATAGTATCAGCAGATCGAATACGCTTCTCGTGTGAAGAATGTGGCCATACATTCGGAACACAAAACGACCTAAAAACACATAAAATACAGTCGCATCAGCCTCAAGCCCCACAGCAGGTAATAATTAACTAATATAAAAATTTTGTGTAGTGCATTGGAATCTTTGTTGATATTAATTAATACGTCAGTATCTCTTACTAGGAAGTTACTAGAAAGCTGAACTTTCTCTAATTTCTTCCTTCATTCTTCATTTGTTAAAACAATAATTCCAATACATTACACTTGTGTTCTAACTTTTGGCCATTTTTGAGATAATGGGGATTACTGAAAATAGGTACTCAAAACGTTCCAGGTCCAACAGCAGCCTCAGCCGCCCCAAAATACTCTTAAAATAAAAAATTGCGAGTCATGTGGAGCACCTTTACCGCAGGACAATAATAAGAAAAGGGCAGTGATGAAGGTCAAATGCGAGAACTGTCTTAGTGCCGAGGCCATACAACCGCAGATTTTCGTAGTAGCAGCTGCACCTGATACGTCAGTTAAGTTCGAGGAAAGTACTGGCACGCAGACGCAAACGCAGGCCTTGGGTAAGTAATAAATTTTTGGTTAAATTACTTACAATTCTGACTATCAGCAAAACCAAAATATTTGCGCAACTCTCTATTTATATAGTAATGTATTATTCGAGTTGAGGCGGTACGAAAATGAAAATTGGCCCTGTGTGTTGTACATTAGTATAGGTTTAAAATTCAGCTAGATTTTTTGAATAGTAACTTTCATTCGGCTCGTATTGAATATTATTCAATTCCTTGACTCCTGGTTAGAGAAGTGAGCGTTAAGTTTAATTACACTAGGCCCTCATATTATAGCACATAATATATACTCTCTGTACATTGACCTAGCACCACATTTTATCCACAGCAGAGCCGAAACTACGAGATTTGTCAGGAGGGATTTACCAAAGATCAGATTACCACCCTATTTCCCGATCCCCTTCCCACACCTATAGTTAAAATACTTATGGCGTTGTTGCATATATTATTGGCTTCATGCAGGTGACTGGATGGTAGACTTCATACAGTTGGATGGAGTGTGGTTGTTGGCTTCATGCAGGTGACTATATATGGATAGTAATTTCAAGCAGAAGCAGCGGCCATGCTACTGCGATTTACTCCCTATGTTGGTGCCACAAGACTAAGGAAGTTCCACCCATGTGGTTAGGGTATGCTCCACCAAAAGATGGACAAGAAACATTTAATAAGGCCAAAAAAACCCCAATGGAGATTTAACGATATAAATTAAGTTTGGAGCAGCATTGGCTTTAAATAGATAAAAAATGCATACAAAACATTACCACATCCATTATTTAGAAGTGACACATGACAGAACTGCGTTGCCAACTGACAAATATATTTTATCGCTTGAAGTAGGTCACAGCCGTCATAGACATTTTGTATATAGTATTTTTCATATAAAAAGCTTGCACGTCATTCAAGATTTACGTCGCCAGAACCTCACAGCGTTGCCAAAACATCAGAATAGTTAGTAAGTGAGGAATTTTTAAAATGTCAACTATTTGTCAAACTATTATATTAACAGTAAATACACTTAGTTTTAAGACTACTGCAACACATTAAAATACATAAGAAAACATTTTAATACAAAATTATATATTCTAAATTTTAAACTTACCTATTTTAGGACTTTAATAGTAAAAACGTCCCACCATTATTTCTTATTCAAAATAATCTATCTTATATGAAAGCTTATCAGCTTTCTACAGACTATTTATTTGTTTCGGCATATCACAATCACAATACACAATAATTAGTTTTTAAAGCTATTAATCTAAATTTAATATGTATTTATAAATACAATTTATTAATATATATTATATTATTATCAAATTGTGTAAAAAATCAAAATATAAACAAAATTCCTACCCTAAAAAAGCGGCAACACTTTATACAATTTTGCCACACGCTCAACTGTCATTTAAATTTGAAGTATTTCCGTATTAGTTGCGTACAATTGTCTAATATATTTAATTAAAATTATTATTTTGTGGAATATTAGACTTAAAAAAATATTTTATAAAATTTATATTATTAATAATAAAAAATGTTTTTGGTTATTTAATCAATATAATTCTAAAATTTCCAATATAATGATGATTACATTTTTCTGATTATTACACCATGTTGACGCCTATGAAAGATCGAGCAGTTTCGTATGGGTTTCGTATTATTAGCTGTGTTAGGAAAATTTAAACTCGTAAGGTTAATGTTCTGGAAATTTTAAATACAAGTGATGTCACTTTGTATAAATCGTGACGTGCAAGTGTTTTACTTTGAAAAATGGTATATGTCTACTGCGTAAAATGGACTGGGATAGAAAATGGGAAATATACAAAGAGTTCAGTACTACAAAGAGTAAATATACTTTAACTTATTATGCACAGCACAGTGAAAGGAAAAAGAGGATAAGGTAGACGACGTATTTCGTAGCTTATGAACTTGAGACAGTGGACCGGAAAAACTTTGTTGGAATTATTTAGAGAAATAAAGATTATTTTGTGAAGAAGGTTTTGTGGGCTACAGTGATTTCCACTGCAAGAAGACAAGAAGTCGAATGAGGATACGGCACTGCAAGAAGGCAAGAAGTGGAATGAGGATGGGGCACAGCAAGAAGACAAGAAGTTTATTTTTATAAAAAAAAACCTAATATTTCTCGTGATATGACATCCTTTAAATTTTAGTTATAACATTATACCTCCACTTCAGATCCATGACGTACATTAATTATTTTTGTCTTATAATGAAGACAATAATTTGGTATATTTGCCAGTGTAATAAATTGTGCTGTAAAATCTTGCAATAAAGCTAATAAATTGTGCAATAATATCAAATAAAATTAAACAATATTGATTGTGATGTTATTTTGAAAAATTTAAATAATTTGAAATTTTTTTATAAACTTTTTAAATTTTGCCTCCCCCTGAAATCTCCCGCACAGGGCACGTGCCCCCTTAGGCCTCCACAGTTCCGGGTCTGGTCCATAGTTTAACACCAAGCTAAATTTTACCCATTTGTGTCCTTCACCTCTTCTATATCTGTATGTCATATATCTATATAGAGTTCAGTATTGCTGGCAGGGTAAAAGTTTTTTATGCAGCAACAAAGCAGATTTAAACTAACCAGTCAGTGCCTTTTACTAGATTTTGAATTTGATGTGAGCTTTTCAGAAAAAATTGACATTTATGTTGATAAACAAATATTTTGCAGTATGTAAGCAGTAAGATGATTTGTTAGTTATTTATAATAAATTAGATATGTTGTATCTTCTTGTTCGTAAAGTTCATATGGACCAATTTTAATTCATTAATTTTGATATACTATTTGCTATTCCAGTCACTGATTTCGTTAATAAGACTTATATATTTTTGTCGAGCGTTCTCACGGGAGTTTCCTTTTTCGAACGTGTTTAAAACGTCAACAAATTTGGCTATTTTAACATTCCATGATTTCGGAATACCACACAGGATGAGAATGGTTGTTTCTTATTTATTTTTTAACATCCCTTCCGATAAGTTATTTTGCACAAGCGCTTCAAAATAGTATAAATTTCCTGCTCAGACCTCGTAAAACGGTACCGAGGCATGCTTTGAAAGTTTGTGAACAACAAATATTTACAGTTGGCTAAATCTGGTGAATGAGGTGGGTGGTCGAACAATATGTATTCTAATTAGTATAATTTTGTATGTGCAGCGGCTACCTTGTTAGTGGTGCATTTTCTTGATGGAAGATGATCTTTGATGATTTTTTTTCAAATCGCCGTCGAAATTATGTAAAGTTGCGTAGTTATGTTATTGCTGTTCGACATCACCTTTTTGACCAACCCGGTAGTCTTGACATTGTTCGGTGGGCCTTTACCAGTTTTTCTTCACTGATACAACTGGGTCTTTCTCCCGGCTTTAAAGCCTACTAGAAATGTGAGTTTCATCAACAGTCACTTATAGACGAAAAAACCTTTCGAATTGAGTTTCATAGTTGCTAAAAGAACCGCCGAATCTGACGCAGATGTCCGTTTTTGGTCGACAGTGATCATATCACGGATTTCGTTGATGATTTTTAGGGTAGTGGCGATTTTTGGACATCTGAACACCTGAATATGAAACATATTTAGCTTTCCAAAATTTTACTGTTGCTTATGACGGTGCAAACTCCCTGTAACATTATCCAATTCAGCTTTGATTTGTCATTTGTTTTTTTTTATTCAAGAAATGGTATTTAGTAAGTGAACCAAATTCCACTTGTTCCATTTTGCAAAAAACAAAGAAGCTGCTTTCGAAGACTATTAAAACCAAACTATTTTTGTTCAAAACTCAGAGCAATTCGTTTTTACATGACGCCACCTATCGAAGACTGCATTAATTGCAAACCAACTTTCCATCTATGTTATTTCAGAATATATCTGCGCTCAGCTATGTGTAGTTTTCAAAGAAGGCAACTGCTTTATTGTGCAGAAATCAATGTGCTGAAATAGATTATCAATTACTAGATAATCTTTAATCAGATTAAGATATACATACCTACACATTGCATTCGGAAAAACTGAATTATGTTTGTGTCATCTAGTTTTAAGGGCTTGTAGGTCGTACAAGCGCAGAGCGCCAGCGTTACACCGAGTCACTACACAGGCGGTTGATACGAATTCTCAATTCACAAATACAGCTATGACCCATAGTTGCCAAATGATAGAATTTTCCTTAAATTAAAAACGCGTTATTAAAATTGAACTGGTACAATTGTTAAGTAACAATTTTCATTGTTTTGTATTAAGTGGTTTGAATATTAAAAACAACAGTATGAATTCATTTGGTAAAAAATATCAAATATAATGTAAAAACTTTATTTTTAAAATGAAATGAAAGCAAAAATATGCCACACAGTCTAACTTTAAGTCTAACTAACCTGAAATGGCAGCACAAGACTATTTTCTGCACTGCACTTGACTAGCTCAAAGATATATTCATGATATTTTAGTCGATCACGTTGTCCCATATTTTATTTACACTTTATAGATAATGACTTTATTTTCATGGACAACAGTTGTATCTGGGACTTTCTAGGTAGATGTATAAAAAACAATGAAAGATTACCTACGAAAAAAATGAACTTTGTGTTCTTATAGATGAGTGGAATAACATATCCCAGGGGTATATCAGTACTCAGTACGTTAATTCGTGGAATTACCCAGAAAATCAGAGCCATGGTTTTAACTAGAGGGAACAACACGCGATATTAAATTGATTTATTGTTTTCTTATTGAACCGTTCGCTCTTTACGTTATTATTTAATTCTTAATTGCACAAAAAATACAATTCAACTAACTTTGATATCAGTGTGAATCGGGATATCAGTATAAATAAAAAATGTATAGAGAACGAACCAAGTTTGCATAGAACAAATTTGATATCAAGATAGTTTTGTGTGACATCCAAAAGCTATATTTCACCAGAGGTGTCTTAAACCTAAATGATAGAATTTTTTTTTTCCTCCTATACTGCATATAAATTGTACTTCGTTTGGAAATCTGAATGGTTTCCAATTTAAATTAATTTAGGGTGATTTTCTTTCTACCTGTCCAAAAAATTATCAAATTGTACTATAAAAATAAAGCATTCTAAACTAATTTCCTGTATTATTCTTAAATAATATTTTTTTATAGGAACACAAAACACAATTCCGATAGGAGTAAAGAATAATCATCCAGTAAAGAGAAGAGGAGTAGCCAGCGTCACCAAATGTACCAAATGTAACGGTAGTGGTATCATATTCATTGGTGGTTCCAAGAATCAGCAAAACAATGTAGACAAGCCCTTTCATTGTAATATTTGCAACGGTAAGTTAAAAAAATTAAATAAATTTGTACTGTAAATTAAACCAAGGTGAAAAAGTATAAAAAAGCTTTATTTTAAATGTTTTTAGGTGAAAATTAATAAAAGTGTAAAAAAACCCAAAAAAGTAAACAAAACTCATCGTTGGTTATCGGAAATTTTTACATGAAAGCTTAACAAAAATACAAAATTGTCTTAATCGTAACAGACCTAAGTATAAGATAATAAATATCAATGATTTTTATTTCCAAATTTTGTAAAAATACATAGGTATGGTTTAAAATTGCCAAAATGTATACACCCGACAATATGATCAACAGGTTTCTAGTGTATAGGAATCGTTATTAAACGGAGAAATGAAATGTCACAGAGTGTTCTCACACTTAGTAAAAATGATAAAGAAAGAATTATTGGTTAATATACCAATAGCTATGCAAAATTCTCATATGTATATTAATCTTGGTATTACCATTAACAGTGGAATATTTCTAGAAAATATTGTCTACAGAACCCTCTTAATTATGGTGATCTTTTTAATATAAAAAAAGGGCTTTCCATTCTTCACGTCAACATGAAATTTTAAAATATTTCATAGACAAGAGATGTGCCGACACTATATTACTTAACCTGACCTGCACACTTCACTTATCACTTAATCTCATAGACATATAATACAAATAGCCTGACTGTTGCAATACAGGCCTGTTCCCTAGTGTGGCAGAGAAAACTGGGACAAAGAAGTTCCTATGTCTCTTTCTAAGCTCTCGACTCTGCACGACGTGGGTAGCAGTAGGACTATTCAGTGGGGTACTGAGCAACAAACAGATAGCGATTCAACAGACGGCAATATAAAATTTTAAGACTTTATAAAGGGAGTAGTTTACTAGATTCATGGTTTGAGCCATCGCTAGATAAAGAATGATTTCAAATGCAATAGTTTAAAATTGAAAACAGGTCTGCAGCATTACATTGGAATTGGCGGGTGGATCGAGTCGGATTAGTCGGCATCATTCATTAATCACTATCGGAAGGCGTTAATACACTATAAAAACTTACACGAATTAAAATTTTAGGGTACGTTGAACAATAACATGTGAATATTAAATACTTTCAGGTTCCTTCAGTAGGTACTCTTCTCTATGGTCTCACAAACGTCTTCATACTGGTGAAAAGAACTTTAAGTGTAATATTTGTGGTTTAGCATTTGCAAAAGCTGCGTACCTCAAAAATCATTCCAGAATACATACAGGGGAGAAACCGTACAGGTAAGATTTTTGTTATTAAATCCTTTATAGCGCGCGTCGAAAGTCTGCCTCCCAATTATATTCTGAATCTTAAATCATAATATAATAGATTTTTGGAGCATTTATACGTTGCTTTTATGACGTTAGATTATGTGTACTTAAGTAAGTAAAGGCCGTAGCTCAGCGGCCAAGATACTGGAGTTTGATTCTCGACACCAACAAAGACATTTTCGTTTCTAAAAATGATAATGAGCCGTCAACGTGTTTCAAACAACACATAAAGCCGTCGGTCCCCCTGGGCTAGTGCGCATTGAGACTAGTTATCCGAAACGAGGTTAATCATGCAATTGGCGCTGGAACAATCCGAAAGGATCTCCCTCGGCAAAAATGGCATACGATATTATTATCAGTGACTTTAGTTGGATCCTAGCTTTTTTGCAATTATGTTGCTCTAATTAAAAATTGAGAAAATGACTCGAAACTGAATACCAGTGAAAGAATTTTCTACTTCTTTCGCGTTTCTAGCTATTTGAAATAATTTTAAAAAATAGCGTCTGCTTGCCATTTTAAACGATGACGTCACTAAAAAAATCTTAAAAGCAACGTAAATGTGTATTACTTCAGTTACCCAGACATTTATACTTTACGTCTCTTCTTCTTCGTTTTTTTTTTTGTTTTTTATTATATAATCATTTACCCAGTACATATAAGGTTATGCTCGTCTTGATCTAGGCAATGCACAACCAGGGATAAATTTCTATTTCTGTTTACTGCTAATTGACTGCTGGGTGATACTGAAAGATCACCTTTTCCATTTGTTTATCTTCTTCATTTAAGGTTGGATTAGACTTGTCTCGTTTGAGGGTAGCTTCCAAACATTCTCACATTAGGTTTATGGGTAATATGCTACCTTCGGTTAGGATTAAGGATTTTAAGGGCGTAAATTTTTGTATGTTAGGATATTTCCAGTATTTTCTAAATTTATTAATTGTTTTTATAACTTTGTCAGAGGGTTTATATATAATAATATGTTAAGATATTGGACTCTCTATTCCTGCTTTTAATACTTCTAAATACAGATTCATATTTTTGTGTTTGTTTATGGGACATTCAAATAAGATATGGATCACTGTTCCAATGGTTTCGCATTCACATATCGGTGTTTCTGTTTTACCTCTTTTGTAGAGATGGCAAGGAGTTTTGCAATGTCCACTACGTAAACGGTTAGTATTTGTTATAGTATTTCTGCCCATATACCCACATTTGGCATACCATGGTTTTATGGGGAAATAACACTGCAATCTGCAATAGTTTGGATCTCTATCTTTAATTTGGGAATGCCATTCATTGTACTAACATTTTTTATATCATACGGTACTATTAATTCTCTCCCAATATTCGCCAACCTATCAGCTACTTCATTACCTTCAATCTCCTGATCTCCAGGTACCCATTCTATTCCTATTGAGAATCCCATATTATTAGCTTCTACCAATAGTTTTTTGGTCATTATGGTTACATAATCCATTTTATCCCATTTGAGACTGGAAATTTTGGATAAAGCCCTTTTTGAATCCACAAAGATAACTGCTTTCACGATCTCACTTCTCAATGCACACATAGATAGCTTTATATATAGCTATCATTTCAGTTGTACAGATTTGTGTGTAATTATGGAGTCTTGATGAAAATTTGTAATTAATCTGTGGTATATAAATTCCAAATCCAGATTGGTTTGGATAGCTTTATATATAGCTATCATTTCAGTTGTACAGATTTGTGTGTAATTATGGAGTCTTGATGAAAATTTGTAATTAATCTGTGGTATATAAATTCCAAATCCAGATTGGTTTCTTTGTGGGTCGATAGATCCATCTGTGTATACGTAGGTATGATTACTATATGTTAAACCATATTTTGCTAAAAACATTTCATTAGATTCAATTTCATGTTTTTTATATTCTAGGCTCTCAATTGTAATAGGGTATAAAAAAATTTTTCTTTCTACTTCATATATGGGATTAATTTTGTATCGGATTATATTTTTTGATTTTATGAGTATGTCTATATATGCTAATGAGTAGTATGGTATAGCTTTATTCTTCCAAAATTGGTTATTTGCATTTATAGTTTCATTTAACTTGTTTAAACTTCTTATTACTATGTTATTTTTTTCAGACATTTGTTTCAATATACAATTATGAGCCAATATTTCCCTTCTAACTTTGAATGTGGATACTGAACATTCCGATTGTAATATTAAAATTGGTGTAGAACGTAGACAACCTGTTATAATTCTTAAGGTCACATTTTGTACTTGTTCCAACTCTTAATTTAATTATATTTTGGAGTATTTTACCCACACATGACTCTAGGGCAATATTTCTATACTTGTCTGCACATAATGGATCTTTAATCTTTATAGGGTCTTAAGAAAGGAATAATAAGAGTATTTTTTCATTCTTGTGGAAATCCAGCTTTTCTGTTAATTATTTAATTAAATATTATTGACAGTGATTCTAATGCTACCTGAGGAAGTCTACCAATCATACTGTATGTTATTAGATCTAAACCAGTAGCCTTATCCTTTTTTTTTTAATGACACTTATTATTTCCTCTCTAGAAACGTCCTACACATCCTCATTGGATTGGATAACAGTAAATTCTGGATTTGATTCTGGATTCAATTCCCAATTTATCTAATATATCCAAAGCTATGTGTTTGCTGGGAAGTTTGGCAGGAATTATTGCACTTTGATATGTGGAGAACTGTTTAACAATTCTCCATACTTCTGCTAGAGCAGTGTCCCTGTTTAGTCCATTACAAAAGCATCTAAAACTATTTCTTTTTTTATTTTTAAATATTTTTCTACTATAGGCAAAGATTTTTTTGATTTTTATATAATTATCTGTACTTGAATCTTCTTTGTATTTTTTGATTTTCTCTTTCCTCATTTTTATTAAATTTGAGCATTCCTTGTCCCACCATGGAGGACTTTTTTTCCTGTAAGCTTTTTTGTTTCCAAAAAAGATATTTCTTCATCACTCACCTTCTCCATGATTTGCGTAAAGGTGCTATATTCTTTACACCCACTTTTCATTAGTTCTTCTATTTTTGAACAGTATTTTTCCCAATTGGCATTTTTATGTTTCTTTTGTAACTTTTTTGGATAGATGTATGTTGAATTTGTGTCTGGATTTTACACATCGTTGGGAAATGATCACTACCACCCGAGTCCTCTAACACATCCCATTGACATCTGTTCGCTATTTCCGAGGAGATTAGTGTTAGATCTGCAGCAACCTTTGGTGCCAATTAAGAGGCAACAACCTAGAGGTTCCGACATATGGGTTATAATGCACCGTTGCTCATTAAAGTACTCAGAGGGGTCGTGGATCTATATCAGAGGCAGTGTGCTGTGTCGTAGCTAGAAAAATTTCATAAATTTACAAAACAAAACGACAAAAAAATGTTGGGCGCCTCCTACCTGCGTAGGAATTTGTCGGTACGAGCCGAAAAGGTACTAATATCCAAACCGATGTGAATTTAAATACATATGTAAATATGTACGGTATGAAAATTGGCAGTCGTGGATCAGGTGATTGAAGAAACTTTACAATAGTACCTATTTTATTTAGCGCAAACAAAAAATATATATAAAATGTCAGTTAGCGCAAACAAAAAAATATAAGAAAAATGTTAGTTCTAGGTTCGACACTGAATGCGCACTGGAATTCACTAGGAAATCTCAGAACGCAACATAAACATAAATTCGTTCCGTCATAAAAAAA